CGCAGGGGGCGTGCCCGCCACCTCCCCCGGGGTCTCGGGCGGAGCTGCCCGGCCGGCGGCGCCCACTGCGGCCCCCGGCCCTGGGCTGCTCCCACTCGGTTCCCCTTTGTGCCCCGCTACCGCCCCCTGCGTGGCGCACCGGGTATACGCAATAACCCGACCTCGCGAATTCTGTGTGTGTGCCTGAACCCTAATGTGGACAGGCCTGACCCGGAGCAACCCTGGCCCTGACTTACGCGGGCTTACACTCTAGTGAGGGAGGCCGACCTTAAACTAAACACGAGGTAATTTCGGAGAGTGGTAAGGAATGTGAAGATACCGAATAGGGTGAAGACACAGTTGGAGCAGAGAGCACTGCTTTTAAATCCTTTGGTCGAAAAGTGACAGGTGAGACCTGAATTGTCTTCGGAAGATCTTACACAGAGTGGTGAGGAATTCACAGAAGGATGGCTTGCTTGATTTGCATCTTAAACTCACTGGTTTCTCATTCTATGGCTAATGGACTACAAGAGAGCAGGGGTGGGGGCAAGGATCTTGCAAACTGTTTAATTCCGGGAACATCCTGGAGCTGGGCACTGGGGAGACAGGGAGGAATCAGCAGGTTCGCCTAGGAAGAAGGATGGATACAAGGTCAGCTGTGTGCATTTCAACCAGGTAATATCAGCAAAAGTCTGAGGAGGAGGTGAAGAAACCTGGCAGGAAGATCTGGGCTGTGTTTTGACAGAAGAGGAGCAGAGGAAAGGGGCAGATCTAGGCAGCAAGTGTATGGGTTGTTACTACTGAGGCTCCAGCCATGGGAGCTAAGGCTGAAGAGGTTGACCAATGCCGGGTATTAAGTACCAGACAAAGGTGTTCTAAGGTCTGAAGGAGACGCACATGGTATGTGAGGTATGTGTGGGGTGTGTGTGTGTGTGTGTGTTTTGTTTTGCCTTAAAGAGCTAATGTGATAGCAAAAGGATAACAAAATAATTAACAGAGCTGCTATAGCAGATATGCCACCAAATTCCAGTGACTACATACAATAAAGTCCCTGCTCACGTTGTGTCTCACACAGATGTTCCCCTCCAGGCAGGAGCCCCCGGACCCAGGCTCTTTTCCGAGTATGACTCTGAGGTTAATACTTGATTCCCAAAGTCACGGTGGAGCTCAGTGTCATTTCAGACAACCAGAGGAGAAAAGAGCATTAAGGATGGCACAGGGGAAGTTTTTGTGTTTGAGCCTGTTTCATTGGGTCTTCAGTCACTTGGTCGTTCCTCTGTGTAAAGGAGTCTGGAAAATGAGATGTGTGCCCCGAAGAAGGGGCAGTAGGTTTGGAGATCGGGGGCAGAGATAAACTGAAAAGTGAACCTCCCTCTTTTCTAAATGCAGCACTCAGCCCCCACTTCCCCTTCCCCAAGACATCTTGCTTTGTTCACTTAATAATGTGTCTGGGAGATGGTTCTGCACCAGCACACAATAAAAGTGTCCCCATTCTCTTTAACTGTTACATAGAATTCCATTGGATTCATGTACCATTTTTATTTAATGAATTTCCTGTGGATGGGCTTTTAGGTTGTGTCCAACCTTTTGCCATTATAAACAGTGTCCAACCTTTTGCCATTATAAACAGTCTATATCCTTGACTTACTTGGGAAACTCATAGAAACAGCTGCTAAATCAAAGGATACTTACAACATTAATTATACGTTGGCTCTTGAACAATACGGGTTTGAACTGTGCAGGTCTACTTCCTTGCAAATTGTTTACAGGACTGTAAATATATTTTCTTTTCCTTATTTTCTTAACATTTTCATTTCTCCAGCCTACTTTATTGTACGAATGCAGTACATAATACATATATTACACAAAATGTGTGTTAATTGACTGTTTATGCATGCAATCAATAAGTCTTCTGGTTAACAATAGGCTATTAGTAGTTAAGTTTTTGGGGGTCAAAAGTTGCATGTGGATTTTCGACTGCATGGGGGTATTTTGTTATCCCCAGTGCCCCTAACCCCTGCATTGTTCAAGGGTTAACTGTAGATATTGCTGTATTATCCTCCATAGAGGTTTGATTAATTTACAGTGCCTTCCCCCCGCACTATCATATATGAGTTTCCTCACACCCCACCAATACAATTTATCAAGTTTTTTTAAGCTTTATTAATCAGATAGGTGAAAAATAGCATTTCACTATCACATTAATTTGCATTTCCCTTTTCAGGACTGAGCTTGAACATCTTTGCTTACATGAAGTCATGTCTTCTTCCTCTGCTACAAACTGTTGAGGTACCTTGCTCATTTTTCCATTGGTTTGTTGTTGGTTTCTTTAAAACTGATTTGATTTGTAGGTGCTTTATATATATATCAATGCAATTAACATTTGGTCATTTCATATATGGTGCAAATATTTTCTGCCAATCGTCCTTGATCTTTTTACTTAGTTGATGCCTGTTTTTGGTTTTGTTTTTGTCTTAAGGGTTTTTTTTGTTGGTGTTGTTTTGGGAGGGGGGTTGTCCAGTGTTTTATTTTCTCTAATTTATTTATTTATTTAAGTAATCTCCACACCCATCATGGGGCTGGAACCTATGACCACAAGATCAAGAGTTGCATGGTCTTCTGACTGAGCCAGCCAGGAGCCCCTGTTTAGTGTTTTCTTTTATGTCTCTGGTTTTTATGTCATGCCTAGAAAGCCTCTTCCACTTAGATTATTTTTTATTTTCTTTTTTATTTTTTTTAAGTTTTATTTATTTATTTGAGAGAATGAGAGAGAGAGCACAAGCAGGCGGAGGGGCAGAGGGAGAGGGGGAAGCAGACTCCCCGCCAAACAGGGAGCCCGACTCGGGGCTCGATCCCAGGACCCTGAGATCATGACCTGAGCCAAAGGCAGACGCCCTAATGACTGAGCCACCCAGGCACCCCTCAGATTATTTTTTAAATGTCTCTTATTTTTCTGTTATTTTTCAACTTTATGGAGATAAAATTGATATATAACATTGTGTAAGTTCACAGTTGGATCCCCTTACGTATTGCAAAATAATGGCCACCATTGCATTAGCTAACACCTCCATCATGTTATTTATATAATTACCATTTCTTCTTGTATGTGGTAAGAACATTTTAGATATACTCTCTTAGCAACTTTCAAGTATTTAAGTATAAAATGCAATACTGGTCATTGTAATCACCATGCTGTACCAGACCCCCAGAACTTATTCATCTTATAACTAGAAGGTTTTACCCTTTGACCAATATTTTGCCATTTCTTTCATCACCTAGCTCCAGGTAACCACCTTTCTGAGTTTGACTTTTTTAGGTTCCAAATATAATAGAGATCATACAGCATTTATCTTTCTGTCTGACTTACTTCACTTAGTGTAACGCCCTCAGTGTTCATCCATATTGTTGCAAAAGGCAGGGTTTCTTCTTTCTTTCTCATGGCTGAATCATATTCCATTGTATTTATATACATTTTCTTTATCCATTCATCAATTGCTGGATACTTGGGTTCTTTCTGTATCTCAGCTATTGTGAATAATGCTACAGTGAACGTGAAAGTGCAGATATCTCTTCAAAATCCTGGTTTCATTTCCTTTGGATATATACTCAGAAGTAGGATTACTGAACCATATGGTAGTTCTTTCTTTCTTTTTTTTTAAGATTTATTTATTTATTTTAGAGAGAGTGTGTGCACAGGAGGGAGGGGCAGAGGGAGAGAGAGAGAGAGAATCCTAAGCAGACCCACTGAGCTCAGAGCCCCATGCAGGGCTACATCCCATGATCCTGAGATCATGACCTGAGCCGAAATCAAAAGTTGGACGCTTAACTGATTGAGCCACCCACGTGCCCCATGACAGTTCTATTTTTAATTTTTTGAGGAAACTTCATGTTGTGTTCCATAGTAGCTGAACCAATTTACATTCTCATCAACAGTGCACAAGGATTCCCTTTTCCCCCGTGTACCCACCCACACTATCTCTTGTCTTTTTGATGATAGCCATTCTAACAGGTGTGAGATGATATCTCATTGTGGTTTCGAATTGCATGTCCCTGATGATGAGTGATGCTGAGCATCTTTCCATGTACCTGATGGCCATTTGTGTGTCTTCTTTGGGAAAATGTCTATTCAGTTCCTCTGTCCATATTTTTAATCGGATAGGGAATTTTTGTTGTTGTTTTTTTTTTTTTAAAGATTTTATTTATTTATTTGAGACAGAGAGAATGAGAGAGAGAGAGCACATGAGAGTGGGGAGGGTCAGAGGGAGAAGCAGGCTCCCCGCTGAGCCGGGAGCCCGATGTGGGACTCGATCCCAGGACTCCGGGATCATGACCTGAGCCGAAGGCAGTCGCTTAACCAACTGAGCCACCCAGGCGCCCTTTTTTTGTTTTTTTTTTACCATTGAGTTGTACGAGTTCTTTATATCTTTTGGATATTAACCCCTTATTAGATATATAATTTGCAAATATTTTCTCTCATTCCATTCCCTTTCATTTTGTTGATTTTTTCACAGAGCAGAAGCTTTTCAGTTTGATGTAATCCCACTTACTAATTTTTGCTTTTGGTGCTTGTGTTTTGGAGTCATATGCAAAATAATCTTTGCCAATGGCTCCAGGTCTTATGTTTAAGTCTTTATTCTATTTCAAGTTTAATTTTTGTGACCAATGTAAGATGGGAGTCCAATTTCATTCTTCTGCATCTGGTTATCTAGTTTTCCCAACACAATTTATTGAATGTTTACCTATTTATTTTCTAGTATTTTTATTGCTTGCATTTTAAACTATAAAATGTGATTCTTTTATTAATTTTGGTAGAAGGAAAGGTTTAGAGATCCGACTCTTTTTTTTAGATGTTTCTCAGGGTACCTAACACCACTTATTCATTAATTCATCTCCCCCCCAATATGAAAAGCCATCTTTTAGTATACTAAGTGCCCTTAAGTAGTTGAGTATTTCTGAACTATATTCTGTTTCCTGAATCTGTCTCTTTATATCCCAGTATGAGGCTGTTTTGATCACTGTAGCTTTCTTGTAAGTCTTGTACTATCATTTGTAGTATCATATTTTTTATTTTAAAGATTTTATTTATTTATTTATTTATTTATTTATTTAATAGAGAGAGAGAGCACAAGTGGGGGAGATGTGGGGCTCGATCCCAGGACCCTGGGATCATGACCTGAGCCGAAGGCAGATGCTTAATGACTGAGCCACCCAGGCGCCCCTGTGGTATCATTTTTATCATTTTTCTTAACCAAGATATTTAAGCCTGGAAGTGACAAGTTTGCATATGTGCTTTGAGGGATCCTCTGGAGACGACATAGAATATTGGTTGTAGAGAGGAGACAAGCCAGTTGTAGAGATCTGACATGAGAGATGACGAGGGCCTCATTGAAAGCAATGGGGTTGGCTGGGAGGGAGCACATAGAGGTAGAACTGATGGTTTGCTGTGGGAGATCAAAGTGAAGGAGAGGTGGAAGATGGTGCTGATGTTTCTACCCTGTGCTGTTTGCCAAGAAGGGGAAGCCATAAATTTGGTTGTGGGGAGAGGAAGGAGAAATTCGTTAGCTTACAGACATTCATATACATTGAGAGAGTGGGCAGCAACGTGCTTGTGTCCCTGCCAGCATGCATGGTTGCGTGTCTTGGTATCGCGTACACATTGGTTCACAGATTTATTTATTTTAGTTTGTTCATCTGTGGTGCTCACCAGCTCTCACCAGCAGCTTTCCTGCCCGTGGTCTCTTCGTCTTGGGGACCCATCCTCCCCAGGTCCATCCTACCCTCTCTGCTTAAAGAAATCTTACCTATCAAGATTCTGGCCAAATCCCATCCTCCAGGGAAGTCTTCCATATCCATTTTAGCCTTTGGCAGCTGCTTTCAGACAGTCTTCAATTTCGAGTCATCCAAGCACTACAGACCAAAATCAACTGGATGTGCTGAAACCCTAATATACTTGTGCCTCCATGTGGCTCAGTCTGTCCAGAGCATTAACTAAAATTTAACTCTCCACCTAGATTTCTTCCTGACAGTGTGTGTTGGTCTTTTTTTTCTTTCTTTCTTTCAATTCGTTTTCTTGCTCTTAAGTCTTCGTTCTTACTAAAAAAAAAAAAAATTCTCTTTTTCTCTAGATTCATCTTTCTCTCTTATTCTCCACTGCCCTTTGTCTGTGGACTCATTGCCAGGAATTGAGCTGACAAAAGCAAAGTATCTTTAAAGGGCAGAAGAGTGAAGCAGGGGGAGGAAGGAAGCAAGCACAATGATCTTTCTTTTTAGCACAATGCGGCAGGGAGAGATGTGAACACTTGGACATGAATTAGTGTTGTCCTGCCACTGAGCTGAGATCATTGGGAGAAGCAGCAAGTTGAGCAAGAATCCTTTCACTTGCTCTGAGAAGACAGATACACTCTGAGCTTTGCAGTACTCCACAACATTTCCTGGTTAGAGCCCAATTGTGTGTTTTCATGTTGAAAATAATCTAGTTCCACCTACTCTCTAAAACAGGTGGTAACTAAAGTGTCCTTTGGAGTCACTGAATGGTGGGATTTTAGATATTTTGTTAGTTAGTACCCATCCATCCCGGGACACTGACTCTATCTAGTGGAAGCTTTTTCTTTTCCACCCAAACAACAGATGTGAGGTAGGCAATTCAAAGGAACATTTATTTATTTAGAGAGAGAGACAGCGGGGAATGGGGGGGCAGAGGGAGAGAGAGAATCCCAAGTGGACTCCCTGTTGAATGTGGAACCTGACATGGGGCTCGATCCCATGACCCTGAGATCGTAACCTGAACAGAAATCAAGAGTCAGACGTTCAACTGACTGAGCCACCCAGGAGCCCCCAAAGCAACATTTAAACAGGAAGATACTCTGGGGTGCCTGGGTGGCTCAGTCGGTTAAGTGGCTGCCTTCGGCTCAGGTCATGATCCCAGGGTCCTGGCATTGAGTCCCACATTGGGCTCTTTGCTCAGCAGGGACCCTGCTTCTCCCTCTCCCTCTGCCTGCCCCTCACCCTCCTTGTGCTCTCTCTCTCTCTGTCAAATAAAAATAAAAACCTTTTAAAAAAATAAAAAATAAATAAACAGGAAACTACTCTGCCTCAGAAGCAGGAGGAAATGTGGTGCAGCCCTAGGCCCAGGCTGCCCTCCTTATTTGCACATACGGCTAGCTCACCACGCCACACATGCAGCCACGCTCACAGAGCAGACCCCTCCGCTCCGTGCTGGTTGCCCCTGAAAGGCGGTGGTAAGGACGTATTCCCAAAACTACCCAGCTTTGAAAGTAGAATCATTGGGGAAAATTCATATACTTTCTTTATGGCAGGACATGCTCCTCTTAGACTAAATGGGGCTTCCTTTTCCTCCTCCTCCATTTCTAGGTGAGGCAATCAGCACCTCTCAGGAAGCCCCACAGAGATCATAAAAATCCATGCCTCACAGTGGAAAGAGCTCTGCAGTCCCCGAATTTACGTTCAAATTCATTGACCTTAAACAAGTCTCTTTGAACCTCAGTCTCCTCACCTCTAAAATGGGCAGAGAAAAAGTAGCGGCCAATTATTGTAAGGGTTCAAATAATATATGGATGGTTCTTGCACCTAGTATGTACTAAATACTCAGTAGCTATTATTCTATCCGGTGGTGGTGCAGCCTCACTCCCAGGGGTCAAGTGAGGGGAGTCTAGCCATGTGCTTCACCCTTGCTTCTCCAGATGGGGTCCCCGAACAAGCAGCATTGTCAGACTTCCTGAATTACACTCTGTATTTTAACCAGATCCCCAGGTGATTCCTTTGGACATTACAGTCTGAGAAAAGTTGCAGTCTTAGCTGGTCCCAGCTGGGCCTTGACTCTGGAGCCCCTGCAGGCCTAAATCAACTGAAGCGCAGCCTGCTCTTTAGCCCCCTCTGGACTCCAGCCACAGACGAAACACACACGTATACCCGGGCTTCTTACAAGCTGTGCAGTGCATCGTCTCATCTAATCCCCCAACAGTCCTGGAGGGGAAGTGCTGTTCTTCCCATTTCTCAGATGAGGAAACCAACTCTACCAGATGAAAAATGGCTTCTAACATCGCCCAGCTAGTCTGTCATGGAGTCAGGATTCAAACCCAGGGCCATTATTTAAATCCAGATCCGTAGCTGACAAAGATTCTCTCTTTAACCGAATTCTGCCCGGCTCCTCTGAGCTTTCTTCTTGAGTGGCCCTCAAACTTGGCCTGTAAAAACTGCAGACTCTCAGCACAAAAGATTTATTTAGCCTACCCTCCACCCCCGCACCACCACATCAAAAGATTTGAAAACACAGCAACATAGTTTCTAGCAACTCAAGGCTACATCCCTATAATGACCTCAGCCCCCAGGACAGTGCTGCGTGAGACACTTCAAGGCTGCTCCAAAAAAGGTATTCTGTTGCAGCCAACACCCCAAGAAAGGGCACTTGTCTCCCAGTCTCTGGGAGGCTCAAGCCCAACTTCAATAAGCAAGTGCCAGTTAGCAAACCCAAATGGGCTTCACATGGACCAGCCCCCACTTCCTACTTTTGGTAGATCAGCAGGAAATTCCCTGTACAACCCCCACCACCCCTCCTTCCCTTGAAAACGCTCACTATAAAAATGGCGGTTGAGGTCAGTTTATGCTGAGCCCTCTGCCCTATTGCAATAGTACATTATTGATTAATGTCTGTCCTTCCCAATGTAATTAGCGTCTGCCTTTCTCTTTGACAGCTCTTTACCTTGTGTTATCTATCTAGTGCTGATAGGATACAGAATTCCCAGAAGCCATTTCTCTACTCAGCCATCTTGGTTAAAAGACACTGCTCCCAGAGTACTTGTCCAACAGATAGACGATCACAGATTTGGACCCCAGGTTGCTGGAGTCTGAGACGCTGCCATCCGTGTGCTCTGACGCTCACACACATTAGCAAGGGTGACATAGGGCACAAGTCTGTAGCCATCTGGCAGCACAGAAGGCAGTATAAATACCAACTAACATGTCTCAGAGATGTTCAACCATTGTTTCAGCCCTGGGCTGACACAAAGTTTCACTATGACTGCAGAAGGGCAGGCTGTGTTCCTGGCCTGCCCACTTATCCCTGGGGAGCTCTGCAGCCCTCGGTGCTGACAGGCAATGGGCATCTCTGAGCTACCAGTGGAAACTCTTGAGATGGGGGTATGTGGTGGAGAATGTTCTTTGAGATCATTTCCGGCTGTTGTCTTGAGGGGGCCCCAGCCAGGCAAGGTGTCTGGGATTCAGTCTTTCTTTCAGCCTCTATAGGATTATTCTGGAAGTATCTGATAGTATCTGAAATCAGGGCTTAGGGGAGCATGGGCAGCTTGCGGATGCCATGCCCACAAGTTGCTGCAGGGAGAATGAGGAGCTGGGAGAACGGGAAGGGCTGAAAGCCCCCACCAGAGTCCTCACTCCTGATGGAACCTTGTGGACGTTTGACTGTCACGGGATCACTGGGGAGGGTTCAGCCCTACAGAAATCCAGCCTCCAATGCTTGTCAAGAGAGGAACGGAGGAATGTGCGAACGTTCAGTTGCTTTGGGATAGAATATTCCTGTGAGAAGGAAAAACCGTTAGCATGTTCTGATCACATGTTGCTCCCTTTCCCACAGCTAAGAAGAAGACAGGTCGGTCCAGCCACGTAAGGATGGTGGCAAGATGTTTAGTGTTTCACAAATAAAACTGGTTAGGCAAGATCATTACCACCAAGCTTGTTCATGCCCAAGTGTGCACCCGCAACCACAACTGACTCGCATTCCAGAGAAGCACAGTGCTGAGAGCATCATCCCATTTGTTAATACATTTGGCTTATCAGAAACATCAACTGTTTGTTGGAGGTGGAAAAAACATCAGATTAGGACCAGGTTAGATCTCCTATATTCTCCGGATCCTTTGCTCTGTAGCTTCTTAAGGCTCTGCCCCCACTTCCTTTTCTTTTCTCTCTCTCTTTTTTTAATTTCACAGGTGGTTCTTTTAGAGCTGTGTGCAATGTTAGGGAACTTTAAGCCAGCTGTAATCCTCCTTTATTCTTTTTTTATTCTGGTGAACTTTGGAGAACAGAAAGATCTTTTTAAAACTCAAGTCGTATCACACCACTTTCTAAACTCATCAGTTTTTACGTTATTATTTTTTTAAGATTTTATTTATTTATTTGACAGAGAGAGAGCACGCGTGCACAAGCAGGGGGAGCAGCAGAGAGAGAGGGAGAAACAGGTTCCCCACTGAGCAGGAAGCCTGTTGCAGGGCTCGGTCCCAGGACCCTGGGATCATGACCTGAGCCGAAGGCAAACACTTAACCGACTTTGCTACCCAGGCGCCCCTCTTATGTTTAGAATCAACAACAACTCCTGACCAAGGCCCCTAAGGCCCCTCGTGACCTGGCATCTCTTCTGTCTCTACGCCTCATCCCAGACCTACTGGGCTGCTCACCAGGGCCTTCTGGAGCACGCTTGCCTGTTCTTGTCATGCACCAATGCCTCAAAGGCATCTTCTGGAAAGAGTCCCATAAGCTCCCAAGTAGCCAACCCTCTACCTGCCCAGCAGCACATACCATGTCACCCACCATTGTCTGGGGATACTCACTGCCATCCCCTAGTGAGATGTGGGCTCCCGTTTTGTTTACCTGAACATTCCCCAATGCCTAGACTGTGCCAGGCCCAGAGTTGGGCTCTGGACATTCAAACAAAGAACATCAGACGCCAGTGGCTTCGTGATTTGGGTTCATTTCATTTTCCTGGGAGTGCTCTGGCCCTGGATCCTTAGGCTTTGGCCAGTCGTGGCTGCCCCTCTGCTGGCTGGGGAGGGCCCTAAGGAGTAGGAAGTCTGTGGGTTTGGGAGCAAGCACAGGGCTCCTAATATGCATCCATATTCCCACAGCCTTTACACCCCACAGCCAGAGAGGAAGGAGGCATGGGCTGCCCAGGCTGGAGACCAGCTTTCCAGGCTCTGTACACAACCCATTCAGCTCTGAGCTCACCCCCTTCCTCCTTGCCTGAAACAGCAAACTCATGGAAACGTCTTCTGTGGGGACCCAAGAAGCTTGAGTTCACAATGACCATCCCAGGATAGAGCTGCCGGGCAGCGTGCAAGAATCACACATACCACCCCTTTCAGAGCACATGGCTTACCATTTGGGGCCCTGCAGGCCCGGCGGGGACATTCCAGCACCCCCCGTCCTCCAGCTCCATCTCGGCCACGGCTGCCCGGCAAAGTGCAGGCAGGGGCCCAGGCAAAGAACAGAGCCGCGAGGCAGTTGCTGCTCAGCCCTGCTGCTCTGAAGGCCTGGAAGACACAAGGTGGGAAGGGAGGAAGCCCTGGGTGAGCCCCTAGCCCCGAGGGCCCCAGCAGCGAGTGCCTGGCTCAGAATGGCTCTCTTCCTGGAGATGTCCCCTGACAGCTGCATGATAGCGAAGGTTCTGGAAGACTTCAGCTGGAACCATACCTGCTGTCCACTCTGCTAGGTGACTTCTGCCACCGGGAGATCTCTAGGTTAAGATTTGGGAAGGAGGCATGATTGAATGGTTAGGAGGACACGCTCTGGTGTCTTAAGGACCTAGATTTCCTAAAACTCCGAGATCAGATATTGCAGGCTGAGTGAACTTAAACAAGTCACTTCACTTTTCTGGGCCCCTGTTTCCTCATATTCAAAATGGGGTAGGAATGGGGCCTCCCTATAGGATTGATTCGAGGAGGAAACGGAAAATCACATGGTGTTAATTGGGCAACAACAGGCAGCTGCTGGAGTTTACAGGAGGTTGGGCAGCTGAAGGCAAGGGGAGTTATGAGCCAGCAGTCCACAGCCTGTGCTCACCAGAATAACACCATCGGTCGCCTGGGAGACCATGGACAGGGCCACCATTCTCATCATGGCAATATCTAAAGCTGCAGCCTGTAAGGACGAGGAGGAGATGTGGTTAGAAAGGCACACCTGAAGGCAGACTGCTTGGAAGAACCATCAGTTTCACCAGGAGGAGTGGAAACAGCAGCTCAGAACAGGTCTGGCTGGACCACAAGCTCTGTAAGCAGTCCCTGTCTGGTGCGTGGGCTGTGCCCGGCACCTAGTGAGATGGCGTGGAGGACTCGGTGGTGGTGACTACAAGAGTGACCGTGGATGTTGTGTGAGCAAGTGCTGGGGCAAGGACAGACTCAGGAACGTGGGGACATGGACATCTTCCCAGATGACGGGGAGCATCACCAGCACACACAGCACAGAACGAGGAGCGGCTTGTACCCCACTCAGGGTCACAGCCAGCTCTGTCTCCAAGGTGACAAGGGACCAAGGCCAGCCAGGACTCTGGGCAATAGAGCTGCAAGGATCTGCCCTGGGTCAGGCATTCGAGGGAGGCTCCTGTGAGCCTCCCCTGTATCTGGCACTACAGTGCCAGTGAACTGGGACCTAGAGCCTGGGTGGCCCTCCCATTACTGAGATTCTCAGCTGAGGGGTGGAAGCTGCCCCGTGAAGAGCTGCAGAAAACACTGTGGGCATCGTGCCTGTCCACGAGTGGTACTCAGAAAGAGCCGCTTAAGGGATCATGTCACACTTAAAAATAAATCTCTTTTGGTTAGTTCCTTTGCTTCCTCAGTTTGCCTGATACTTGCACCCCGCGGGGCATAGCTAACGCCAGGGAACCGTGTGGGCCCCATCGCCGCGCTGTCTTGGACAGAAGTTCACCAGGCAGAAAGTTCAGAACTCTTTCATTGTTCCTTTTCCAGTTTTGAAAAGCTGCCCAAATACTTCCAAGCAGAAGTAAAGCAAAGTTATTAACGTCAAGGAGCCAAGCTCTTTCTCCATGATTTGCTGCACGGGGGAGGAAGCGTCAGTGTCTCTAGATGCCCAGGCTGGAGTCCCTCATCTCGACCTCACAACCTATCATCTGTTGGGCCCCTCAGTCTCCCATCCAATTTGCTGCCACGCCTATGAGGTGGGCAGCTTTCTGCACCAGCAGAAAGCCACTCCATCTCCATGGCCACTGGGCGATGGATGTCCGCTGGGGCTTCCCAAAGGCCCCATGGGACTTCACCTTGGACACAGGAGAGGCAGCCAGAGGGGCCCACAGAGGAGGTGGGTGGAAGCACACGCGGGAGAAGACAGGACAGGACACGAAAGGGAGAAAAGCAGGAGCCTGCCACATATCTGCAGTTTGTCAGCCCTGTAGCCACAGGCGATTTCCAGGGAAAAGATCCAGACACAGACAACATTGACGTGCACTGCGGAGCTTGTCACCATGGTGGCTGCAAATTACTTCCAGGAATCCCTCTCCTCCCACGATTCAGCCCCCTCTGGGCAGGCCTGGCTGCCAGGCAGAGATCTGAGCTAGCCACTGGCCCAGAGCTTCTGGAAATGAGGTTGTGACTGTGGGCTCCTCACAGGCTGGCCCGGCTTCACATCCCTAGGGCGCCTGGGAACAAGGCTGGAGCCCCCTTGTGGGCAATGATTATTGCAGTGGGGATGCTAGAGTCTCTGAAACTCACAAGCAATCAGAAAAGGTTATAAGGGATTCTTTTATCTTTTCCACCCTTTTTTTTAAACTAAAAACAATTATACAAATAATGTATTTCATGGCATAAAAGGTATACATTTTCAGGTTAAAAAAGGGGAGGACCTAGGGGTGCCTGTCTGGCTCAGTCTGAAGAGTCTGTGACTCCTGATCTTGGGGAGGTGAGTTGAGCCCCACGGTGGGTATAGACATCACTTAAATGAATAAATAAATAAAAACTTTTTTTTTAAAAGGTAGACAGGGACTTCTGGGTGGCTCAGTCAGCTGAGCGTCTGACTCTTGCTTTCAGCTCAGGTCATGATCTCAGGTTCGTGACATGGGAGTCAGCTGGATATTCTTTCTCTCTTTCTGCCTCTGCTCCTACTCTCCCCCCTCAAATAAATAAATAAATAAAATCTAAAAAAGAAAGAGTGTATGGTGAACATCTACATTAAGAAATAGATTCCTCCAGCATCATTTTATTTTATTTTTTTTAAGATTTTATTTATTTATTTGACAGAGAGAGACACAGTGAGAGAGGGAACACAAGCAGGGGGAGTGGGAGAGGGAGAAACAGGCTTCCCGCAGAGCAGGGAGCCCGATGCGGGGCTCGATCCCAGGACCCTGGGATCACGACCTGAGCCGAAGGCAGACGCTTAACGACTGAGCCACCCAGGTGCCCTCTTTGTTTTTTACTTTTATTAAGTTTTTAATTTTAATTCCAGTGTAGTTAACATACAGTGTTATATTAGTTTCAGGTATACAATATAGTGATTCAACACTTCCATACATTACTCAGTGCTCATCCTGATTAAGTGTACTTTTTTTTTTAAAGTGGGCTCCATGTTTAACGTGGGGCTTGAACTCACAACCTCGAGATTGAGAGTCTCATGCTCTACCGGCTGAGCCAACCAGACACTCCTTGAAAGTGTACTCTTTAATCCCCATCACCTATTTCACCCATCTGCCCACCCCTCCCCTGTAGTGACCATCAGTGTGTTCTCTACTGTTCAGAATCTCTTTCTTGGTTTGCTTCTCTCTCTCTTTTTTCTCCCCCTTTTGTTCATTTGTTTTGTTTCTTAAATTCCACTTACGAGTGAAATCATGTGATATTTATCTTTCTCTGACTTATTTCACTCTAGCTCTGTCCATGTCATTGCAAATGGCAAGATTTCATTCTTTTTTATGGCTGGATAGTATTCCATTATAAGTATGTGGTATACCACATCTTTATCCATTCATCTATCGATGTACATTTGGGTTGCTTCCATTATCTTGGCTATTGTAAATAGTGCTGCAATAAACATAGAGTTGCATGTATCCTTTAGAATTAGTGCTTTTGTATTCTTTGGGTAAATACCCAGTAATGCAATTACTGGATCATAGGGTAGTTCTATTTTTAATTTTTTGAAGAACCTCCATACTGTTTTCCACAGTGGCTGCACCAGTTTGCATTCCCACCAACAGTGCACGGGGGTTCCCCTTTCTCCACATCCTCACCAACGCCTGTTGTTTCTCGTGTTGCTGATTTTAGCCCTTCCGACAGGTGTGAGGTGATATCTCATTGTGGTTTTGATTTGCATTTCCCTGATGTTGAGTGGTGTTGAACATCTTTTCATGTGTCTGTTGGCCATCTGGAGGTCTTTGGAGAAATGTCAGTTCATGTCTTCTGCCCATTTTTAATTGGATTATTTGTGTGGGTTTTTTGGTGTTGAATTGTCAGAAGCACTTTCTTTTTAAAGAAAAAAGGACTAATCAGTCTCAGCTCAAGCAGGTGTGAATCATAGGTTTGCTCGGTAATCCAAACACATCGGACCACCTTTGTTCTTGGTACAGAGATTCTTGTGAGACATTTGTTTGGTCTCAAGGGTTTGCTTCATTTTTGTGAAATCAACAGCACTGATTTGAATTACCATTCCCAGCAATAGCTCTCTTTTGCATGGGCTTCCAACCTTTCAGGGGATCAAAGAATAAAGTCTCTGTGGACACGCTGGAGAAGGAGGGTGGTATAGGGCTAGACTCTAGAATCCCAGGTACAAAAGCCACCAATGTGGGTTCTCTCTGGTAGCTGATGTTTAAAGATGAGCTAGTAGCAAAAGTGGTCCTCAGCAGCCCATGGCCTTTTGGACCTTGGAACTTTGCCCCCTCCTGCCATAGAGGCTGGCCTTTTCCTTCTGATCACCTCGCCAGAGGGAGACTCATTCTGCTCTGAATTTCAGACTTCACCAAGTAACAGATGCAAAGCAAAGACAGGGGCACAGCTTCTTGGCAAGAATATCATCTTGCTTCACCTGCTAAGTGCTCTCAGAAAACGGTTAGGATTTGAGGTCCAAAGGCAAAACAGACAGGTGGCTCCAGGTCAGAGCAGGCACAAGGAGAAGCACTCAGCGGGCTTTCCGAGCACCAGGACCCTCCCTGACGATCCAGTCAGCCATATGCATTGGTGGATCCTGCTGGGATCCAGTCTGCCCTGGGCGGTCTTGAAGCCTCAGCC